GCCCGTGCCTCTGATCGGTCCATTTCGTATCTTTTATTTGAACTGTAGCTTCCTCGGTATCGTCAACATTTCTTTCTTCTTCCATGTAACCAATTCTCGTAAAATCTCGTCAATAGTATCTTCGTAACATTCATTATCACTAAGATTATATTTATCAGTATCCAAATCAGAATCTGACGATGTAATTTTATTTATGCTTCTCCTTCCGGGCAATCCGATCTCTTTTCATTATTGAACAAAAATAAGGGCAGAGATTTTAAGTTATACCATTCGGTACTCGGCAAAGATTCCAACTGTTCATGCAGGAACAGAAACAGATATGAATTAACAGCGCACGCTTCCTATAGCGGCACGGGTGGCCTGTAGGAGATTTTGTTGTAAATACGCGTGGCAGTCAACGTGTTAAAGTGCCAATGATCGTTCGATTTCTGTTTCATACGGCGAACTAACACTTTCTGTAAATTCACTGTTGCAGATTCACTTGCAGGCCTCGATCATCCGTTCCACTTGCACGGTTACGAATTCAAAGTGTTTAGCATCGGGAAATTAACAGGAAACATTTCCCGGGATGACATCGAGGTAGTTATAAAAGAGCACACGGCACGTCTCCAACGGGGAGAGTACAAGAACCCGCCTGGCAAAGACACGGTCAAAATTCCCGAGGGTGGCTATGCCATCGTACGTTTCCTGGCGAACAATCCAGGTAATGGGTTTACTGTCGCCGACAGGCAAAACATGTGCGAACGTTTACTGCAGATTCACTGTAATTGCTAGACTACGAATCATTGTGCAGAATACGAATTTTCAAGTGCAAAAAGTTCATAAAGTCCTAATGATTACGGTTAACCCTTAGCGGACGAGAGGCGACTCTCGGTCGCCACGGCGTTTAGCGCGGCAGGACGAATGGCGAGTGAGAGGCGACAATCGGTGTTTATGTTAGATATTTACAAAAATCGCCTCGTCCTGCTACCTGACTCAGCCGAAAAGGTCGTCGTCCGCTAAGGGTTAATAATTAATTCAGGTTTCGTGCGCCACACGAAATTCTACCAAAGCGCGTCGATCGCGAACTGCGCAGAAGTGATAATTATTTGTCTGTTCCACCGCAGGGTTTTGGTTGATTCATTGTCATTTCTCGTGGCATCATGTGACCGGCATGGAACTAGTGATTCAGGTAGGCGAGCGGGAAGATCTACCACCGACACCATCGGGTTTCCCGGAGTGCAGCAATTGGAAACCAGCGGTGCACTTGATGCGAGATTTCTTCAACACCGGAGTTCCCTATGCTTACTAATTATTGTATTCATCGTCTTTGTATCTAGCGAGTCATTTACACAATGTACGCAGATTACTGCGAGTCTACCGTAATTCGGTTTTTATCGTTTCGCTTTGCCGGTCGTGAAAATTTATACGAGCGTGTTGCGAAATATGGAGACACGTGTTCAATGTTAATAAAACATGCACAATTAATAAACCGTACACAACGAATGTACCAATCCGTTTTGCACCTTATCTAACCACTTTTGTAACAATGTCTATCGTCATCTGTTATAATAACGTTTGGAAAATGTCAATAAAATAAAATGTCAATTAAATAATTAACAAAAACTCGTAACAATTCCGTTAACCCTTCGCAATCGAGTGGCGACTCTGAGGTACCGCTACGATAATCGTTACATCGTGTAATGTTTACATTGTCAAACCTGTTTAAATTTAAGGAACTGTTAAAAGTGTAATTGTTGTACGAGTCGCAAGACTCAAAATTTCGTATGCATAAAATGCAATAAGTCGTATAAAATAAAAATATATACCGTATAGGTCAGAAGAAATTTATTAAAATGAGACTTCGAGTGTAAAGGGCTAAAAGTCAGCGGTGATTACTAGACTGGATATCTTCGCGCAACATCAAATTTGACCGCGCCAATTACGCTTTCGTTATTCTAATCAATCGCAATTTTTGTGCTTCCATATTTTCTGATAAAGCGGTTCTAACATCTCAAAAAAAACCGTTCGGTCCAATCTTGAACAAATTTAAAAGTTACTTTTGTCCCTATACAGAATTTTTTTTTACTAATAATAAAATTTTTTTTGGGCCATTTTTGGGGGTTTTTGGGCCATTTTTCGTGTACATTTCGTCCACATATTTTTTCTTTCCGACTGTATGCAACGTATTAAATTCTCGAACGTGCAGAACGATTCATTTTCAAATTTCATTACGCCGGGTTACGGTCCTCGTGTTCGCAATAACAGCCGATGCCCTTGACTTCGGCGTGATTTCAAACGCAATTACCGGGTTTGCTGATACCCGGAAGCACGTGTGTTCAACGGGACACGATTGAACGGCTCGCAGTTTTTTCGCAGCACGAAACCGCGGATTTCGGCGCATTGTATAAATATCCGAGACAACCCGAGATTTTTTCCACTACTATCCGTAAAAATGGCATCGCTGCAGTCTAGCCGTTCCCTCAGTTGCGGAAAACTTCTCTCGTTGCTCGTGATCTTTTTGATCCACTTCGACCTATCACATTGTCGTGAGTACAGCTCCAAGTTCAAGTTGGATCCAGTTTAAGATTTAATTATGATAGAAACGGTCGAACCAGCTAAGCTGAAATTTTGCACGCTCGTTGACACAAGCTTCAAGTAATCGCAGAAGTTTTTGTCACGAATTGCGATGCTTCGTAACAAGTGCGCCGTTCTGGGTGCATCGATTTCACAGATTTTATAAGCTGGATCCGTTTAATGAAACGTTTCGTGAAAATTCATGATACCACATGCACGAATAAAACGTCTGCATAAAAAATTATTAAACGTTGCCAGTTGATAGAGGACATTATTGGGTCAACGAATCAGCATTTTCCACGCCGTATCGATGCAGGCGGCAGTGTACCGTGGGCCAGAAACCTCTAATTTGTTATTACAAATTCCACCTTGAGTTCTATACAACAATGGGACCGTAAGTGTTAACGTTTCGTACTTGAACAAAGATGTTCGGTTATTCAACGCGTAAGTTGTTCGTAAAAGTTAAGTATCCTTGTCTCTGACGATCTTGTGTAAAAAAGAAAATAATAATTGGACCGTTTATTTTGAAAGTGGTGTAAGTCCTTTTTTTAAAAAAATGAGACATGACGTAATTTATGCTTAATTTAGTGTAAACTTTTTGTTTATAACTAGTTAGTATTTAATATCTTAAAAAATGCCAATGCTTTGTTCAATTTAAAATTGGCCGGTAAAAGGAATTGCGTAACCATTAATTATGATAGTGGTGTAAGTCCAATTTCCATCACGATGCCAAGCCTATTACATACGAAAAATATAAGGATATGCAGCAGCTATTACCTTATATACCTCCTGTGCATCATGAGTATTTCAAAACACTGCCACATGAAGAGCATAAATAATTAATAATACCGATATCTTGTGTTAAGTTTAACAATATATAAATATAATTAACGTTCAAAATAAAAAATGCTAATCCTATTTTATTTCTTGTTATTATTTATAAACAAAATTGGATTAATATGAGATATATTTTAAGTGATATTTGTTATTTCAAAATCGAAATTAAATGATATTTACAATTGACTAATTATGAAAGTGGTGTAAGTCCATTTGCAGCCTGGAAATTGTATATTATTTTAGTTAAATTCGCCTAAAA